GTCTTGTAAAGTATACTTTATTGGCATTCGAACATTATTTTTACATTTTATGTTCGATTTATTATTGATTTCAATTATATATCATCATCATCATCTCCTTGGTGTGAATCTTCCTAATATATTTTATGCAAACAAAATATATTCTTTATATAACTAGGTATGTTGGACATGTTATACAAAGTAGTATATTTATTTAGTATTCTACAAATCTTATGTATTATGCAGAAATAATTCTAGAGTTGTATACATATTTTTAAAATTCATTTTTTTTTTTTTAAATTTAAATTTGGTCACAAAATACTAAAAACACAATTTTGAGTGATGGATTGTTTTCACGAGTACCTACCTAATATTTTTAGGTATCCGTATTGTTAAATTTAATTTTCACACAAATAAGAAATACAAACAGAACATATTAAAAATACTTCTTTTACTAAATGTATTCGAATATTTAATAAGTCTGTCAAATACCTAAATATATAGTATACTTAATACTGTATATGTATACACTCTAGATATCTCATTGTGATCATTCTATATATACAGTGTGTCAGTGTGATACACAAAGCATGATCACTCCTATTTTTTACTTTAATAATGCATTTATTCATAAACTGAGTTTTGTTATTTTTAAACATACTACATTCTTAGAATTTTTTATACAACTTAAGGACTAAGGAGTGTCCCTTGGCGATACAAACTTCAGTTTTTCAAACGAGAACACCCCTTTTCTAGGTACTGTAAATTATTTAGCGGATAATTTTTTGGAAAATGTTGAAGTATCAAAATCAGAGTTCAAACCCCGTAAAAGGTTGGTCCACTACTCCGCTCATCTATAATTTAAATACTTATATAATTCATAAACTAATACCTGTCCGAAATTATATTATGGATCGAAATACTCCATACAATATTCTTCTTCGGAATATCAAATTAAAAATGTATATTGTCATTCAAAAGAGTAAAAACATTTTTTTTTTTTAATAAACGATGAAGAATAATAGTATAAAATATTGTCTTGTGATGACTTAAAAAAACGTTAGTGTTTTCCGAAATAATGCGTTTCTTACGTTAAATGGATCACCACGTCCAACCCAGAAAATAGTAGGTACCTATCTATTATAGCTAATTACGCATCTTCGTTCATTATATTTAATAATACAGTCAAAGTAATAGATATTATGGTGAGCTTAAACTGTTTAATGATCCATACATATAGGACGTCGCACATACTCGTATTTTGATCCACGGAGCCGGACTTGTTACCCTTAACTTTCTGGGGGTAGTTCGTAGTTGAATTGGTATATCGTATATAAGCTTTTATTCTTAAACCTCGTGGTTCGTACAGTTTCTATTTTTGAATAATTTATAGGAATTTTTTATTAGCATAAACATGAAAGAAACTAAGCTTCTTATTTTTATATTAAGGTAGGTCATACACTTATACTATAAAGCTATTGAATATCAGTAAGCTATACAATTGTGAAATAGTCAATTATGAAATATGAATACATATTTGTTAAAACTTAAACTATATATCTACATTTGAATGTAGTTTTACGAAATTACCACCATATAGCTTATATTATATGAAATCATTGAAATCCATAATATGTATTCATAATTAATGTGACATAGGTTATATCCACGTATTTAAAGTTATTAAAACACCCATTTAATTAATGAAAATAAAAAAAAATTAATAAACAATAAAAAAATTGGAACTTATTGCTTATGATGGGCTATTATGTACTTTAGTATTAACATTAATTTATTTTACAATTGTTAATATAAAATGTAAGGATTTTCATATGCCCGTATGCATAGTCAATTGATATGTCATAGACATAGTTGACAATGCATACGGACATATTATTATAAATTGTAAATTATTTTATACATTTTATTGTATATAATAACTGTATAGGTAGGTACCTACTTTTGTTCTTAAAGAGTACCTAACTTAAATTGTTAAATGGAAATAATTGTGATGGGTACTCATTTGGAATGAGCTTCAAGATGATATTTAGCACCTTTTGGTGGGACTACTTTCCACATGCCTTCTAATTGTGATGGTTGTAATCATTGTATACATTAAACAAATTGCTCCTTTCAGGACCATTAATCAAAATGTAATCCATTTTCTCTATATAATACTCGTATTGTTCTTAATATTTTTGAAAGTTTTTATGTGCCAATGCTTACCTATCTTTTTTCAACTAAAGCCGTTTTTATGTAACTTTAAATAGTTATTTATTGCTTTTATTAATTAGCTATTATCATTAAAAAGATTATTTGAGATAATTTCATTTTATTTTATGACTAGCTTTTCCCGCGCACTTCATAGCCCGTAAAAAATGATAGCTCTTAAAAATAATGTGATTGTTCAACTTTTTTTGGCTGTAACTCGCTGCAGTAGGTAAGTGCAACTCAGTCACCCTGGTAGGGAATCCGACTATGTCGGATCGCGAACAACGTGTGACAGCATATCAAGTAGGCAATCCACCTGCAATGGATTACGGACACCGCCGATAATTTGCTATAAGTGCAAGTCAGCTACCTTGGCAATGTGTGAAAATTCGGTTTAATGCATACTTGTTAAATAGCTACCATTTATTATTATTAAAACCAGTAACAACCATTTATAAACATAAATTTCCATCGTAAATATCAAAATTCCTGTTTGAGTACCTCCCCGGGTTGTACCTACCGGGTCCAATTGTGAATCTAATCATCCAGGGAACCCACTCAAACACATACAAATAATTTCATCAATAACGGTCCAGCCGTTTATTAATGCATAAATTACAGACAGTCAGACCAACATTTATTTTTATAATAATAGATTGATTTAGTTGTGAGAAGACAAATTTTTAAAATTTATTTTACTTAAATGAATGTAGGTTTTAGTTTATAATATTATAAATTATATTGTATAGTTTAATATTCATACCTACATACTAATGCTAAACTATATTCTTTAGAAACACTTTCAAAATGTCAACAATTAATAAAAATTAAAAACCCTACACATAAAACTATAAAAGTTCCAAATGAGATATATTTTAAAGTGGTTTGAGAGTCTCTTGAAATTTGAATAAATCGCATAAAATGCTGATGATTCAACAGTTTTCAGAAATACTGTAAATTGTAATTCAAAGTTAATTTATATTAATAATTTTAAGTGTAAGCGGGTAGATCAAAACTGATTAAAAATATATACTTGTAATAAGTAATGATCGCAATTTAGATTTAACTATTAATAACTAATCAATGGATAACAAAATATAACTAGTTTAGATGTTAAGTTTAATAATTACAAATACCTAGGTACTTTTAAGTTTAAACTATCAATATAATATATGCTATTCATTTATTTTAGGTACGTTTATAATTATTATCGTACATGAAAAAATAAAAATATTAACTATTAAATTACCTAAATTATTTTAAATTTAAATCATTTTAATGAACTATTATTCAATAATACTGTCTATGTGGATGAAAAAATTTCCAAATAATTAAAACATAGTGCTATAGTAGGTATTTAAATTACGAATTTGTGTATCGGAAAATATAACTTCTTTATAATATTTTAAAAAGATATATCATAAAATAAGTATGTATATGCCATATCGTACTATATACAGAGTGATTCACCGCAATCTATCTCACTTTTCATTTATTAATTAACTTTTTCAGATTTTTTGGAATTTTTAAATATACCTACTCAAAGATCATATTTTCTAATTCTTGAGATATTTTGTACAAGGAGTATCCTGATTGCGAGACAAACTTTTTTTAATATTAGACCCCTCCCATCATCTTACTCTCAATTATTCAGTGCATAATTATTTTGAAAATGTTGATGTATTTAATTCTAAATTCAAACGAGTAGTTATTCAGTTATGAAAATGTTCATAGGTACTAAAGGTTATGTCATTAAAACGGTTTTACAAAAATATAAAGTACATAGATACATGATTGGATCTATTGTTTATTATACTTGGAACATTTTTACAAATTATAAATGTTGATAGATTAATATCAATTACTAACAATTTCAACTTTCTATATCCCCCATATCCCATATCCATATCTATATATTCAATCCATTATATCACGGACCTATTATCCTTACTCCTTAGTACACAATGTTATATTACACAAAAATGACTCGTTTAAATTTTGATTTTGAAACGTCAAAATGTTCAGAAAAATTATTCCCTTGATAATTTATAGTAGAAAAGGGAGGTTCTCATTTTAAAAATAGAAGTTTGTACCTCCATTCTCCACAGGACACAAAAAACTCAACGATTTGAAAATATATGGTATTTGTATGTACCTACTTATATTTAAAAATACCAAAAATCAGTATTTGAACAAATTCATTATTAAATAAAAATTGGGGGTGAGTACCTATACTTGGTGAATTACAATGTGTAAAGTTTCACGCCAACTATTAGTTATACATTTTGTCTGGTACATTTATAAAGATTTTAAAGCACAAGTAATGAATGAAATTCATATTTATAACAATACAGAAAGTGAAATAGTCTTGGGGACATGATGCATTAAATATTTAAATTGCATTTGTATCAACGTGTGAGAGAGTAGTTGCCAAATTAGAGAATCGATTGTACACTTAAATCATTTAGGCATTTAGTATTTATGGCAATAAAACAACAATGGGAGTTTAAGACTTTGAGTAATACTATACATTATTTGTTTAAGGATTCGTTTTAATCTGTGTACTTGAATTAATTAAATAATTATACCTTAAATGGAAATGAACAATTAATATTTTTGTTTCAGGAATAATTTAGTAGGCTATGCCCCAAATAGCTTCAAGCTACGACCAATATGGCTGAGAATTCTGATTCAGATTGTGAGAGTGACAGCGACAACGAAGAGGAGGAAGAACTCCAATTTATTATAACTTTTTTATTATCAGGGTTGTGTTTGACACATATTGACCTGATATTATTATAATTCACACCATGGATCTCAGTGGATACGTACTAATACTCAAAGAAACTGAAGATAATAAAGCCAAGCTTTTAGGTAAGTACACCCGTTTAATTTTACAAACATTTTATTTCACGTTAAAAGAAATTGAGTCGACAATTTTTCTGTGATTCAATAATTAACAATAAAAACAAAAAAAACTGATGCGATGCACTTATGTTAATTTTAACCTTTTAAACAACTTTCGTTAGCTTTGTAACCTCAGAATGGAAACGTAGAATTATCGTTGTAACATAATTTTTCTGTTTTAAAGTATTGATAATATTCCTTATTTATCAAATTCAAAAAACAATTTTGAATGCTAGGTGCTGGCTACGTAAAAGTGGATTGTCTTTTTCTAATTGGGATTGCTCATATTTTGTTTTGCATATCAAAATATAATTTAGAACAATCCATAATAACTATAATATAATGTTGATAAATCCTACTATTCTATATAGTTTTTAAAATAAAAGTAATAAACATAATATATATTTTATCGTACTTATTGCGCAGCTTAGAATCTAAAATACAAATACCTATCCACTCAATATAAATTCGAAAAATGTTTTATTTTTGTCAAAAATTAAAATAACGTTTTTTTATTTATCAATATTATATAATAGCTAGGTAATATTTATTTATATTAATTAAAAATAATTCGTTGATTAAGGCTCAAAAGTCGACCGCGCGGATTTCGAAACAGGTGATGAAATATTCGCAATTAATGGACAGCAAATTGCAGAAATGACTCGCGACGATTTATTATCTTATCTCTACCAGGTGAGTTATTAAACAAATTAAAAAAAATCATAGGTACTACACAAAAAAAAAAAATAAAAAAATAAATATTAAATTTTTACTGAAATATAAAAACGTTGTTGCAGTGTATTGTTACAAGAACCATATGCATGAATTTAAAACCTCGAGTAAAAAAAGGTATGTACATTAATTTAATATAATATATACACCTAACTATATAGTATATATAATATATTATTGTACTTACTGCATTATATTTATATCCTAAGTATTTGGACACTTTCGTTTGTTTGCTGAAGTATTTAATTGGCCGTACGCATTTTACAGAATGGGTAACAGTTAGACTGACAGACAGCATAATATATGTTTCACCGTTTCCTTGTGCAGGTTACGCTAGTTTATATAAAAAAAAAACTGAAAACGCTATGCCCATCCTGTTATATATTATGTCTATGACGTATACTCAGTGTCTTCATTATTTTTGTTGGGATGTGCACTGCACTACTGCAGTATATATGGTGTATTATTATTTATTTATCAACACGTTTGTATAATTTTCCGAGCAATGGGAAATGTAATAATTTAAAAGTGTGGATAGTTTATTCCACTGTCAGCTATTTTAAGATAGAGAATTCCCCCTAAGACACCCGTTTTATAATACAAAATCTAGGCTTTATCAAAGAATTCTTTAGATACCTACCGCCTTTTCCAATAATCGACTATCACGAGACATCGTCATGAACTCTTTTACATTTTTCCCCCTCACGACTGTACCAAAAAATATTAATATTCGTTGAAGATGTATTGACATTCTAAAATGTCCAGTTCTTCTTCAATACAATGTACTTTCACTCTTGTATTGTAAATTCTCTAATTTCCGTAAAAGTCTCTAAGAGTAAGTGTAAAAAATGAAATAACTCTCTCGCCTCTATACTCATCATCATGATGGTGTTTTTATGGGAATTTCTACATCGTCTGTGGTCGACGACTGTCGTTTCTAGTCGGTTAGCGACCTCGAGTGATCACAACAGGTACGTCAGGTAATACCAATAACAGGTCTGTGTTGTTAGTCTACCTAGTTACACCCAGTGTTTTTTACTCGTGCCGCTAACGTTTCGGAGTGCGCGTTTTTTTGTCGGAGTTTCGTATTATTCAGTGACTGTGTACAATTTTTATAAAAAAATTTTCGGCTGTGTGGATGGGATTTTATACTTTATCTTTTCTATTATAAATTTATAAAGTAAGTACTACAAATACATGGATTCATAATTTATATTATTGTGAGTGTAATGTTAAACGTAAGAGCACTTTACTTAGGTGACCCAAAGTAATTAAAAAAGTCCCAAGTTTCGTTATCACAAGTATTAATTAAATATATACGTATAAAGAAAAGGGCTGCACTTGAGAACCAATTTGGCTTTTAGGGATAGCATAAAAAGGTCTAACCTGCTTTAATAAGACACCACTAGATTTTTTTTTATTGTAAAAGGCTAATCATGAAAACATTTTTTTTTATAAAAAGTATAGACAAACATATTTTAAATTATTCTATTTACACCTATGAATAATAAAAACATAACTTTATAAAGTTAATATTATAACTTATAAGTTGAATAATTTTGTAATAGTAGAGACTTAACCTTTATTACAATATAGACAAATAGACAATTTTCTTATAAATATATTGTTTGGTAAATTATAATTTTTTTTCATAGAAGGTTTGTACATCAAATATTGAATTAACTATTATAAAATTATAAAAATTTAAATTATATAAATTATTAAAATTAATAAAAAAATATATGATTGAAAACAATTTAAGTGCATAATGTGTTTTCGTACTTAAAAAATGCTGTTTTTGATATAATTCTCATAGTATAATTATATGAGTTGAGTTTTTTAAATAATAAATTAGATTTACATACCAAATAATAATACAAGTCCCTCACCTATTTACAGTTATTCATACTGTTTCATAGATTACAATCACAATCAAACTATTGAATTAAATTTTATTTTATGGATAAAATTATTATTTGTGTAGAAAGTCTTATTATAATATATCTTATAATATATTTAAGCAATATTACATTTATTTCTTAAGAATAATAATTATTTTCTCCATTTATTTTACACACTTAAAAATATTGTTATAACCTCTCTCCGTGTTTCCCTAATTGTGATTACATTGTTGAAATTAAGGTATTATAACAATTATAAAGATTAACATTCTAATATGTGTTTTTTCGGAAGATTTTTTTAATAATTATATTATTAAGAAAGTTATTAATAATTATAAATAACTAAAAATAAAAAATGAATAAATAGGTACTAATATTTTTTTTGAAATTAAAACATTAAAACAAGCTTCTGACAAAACACAGATGCTATTGTTTTCCATAATTATTAGAACAAGCAATGATACTTCAATAAAATTTAAATAATTTAATCACAAGAAACAATTAGTGAAATATGAACAGAGAGAGAGGTGTCTACTATAATACGTGTGTAGACAGAGTTCACATTTTTACTGATGCGCCCTCTTAATTAGTAAAGCGGAGCCTTGAAATATAATATTATCTACAGAACATTAATTATTATCAAGTTTTAAAAATGTTGTTAAGATAATTCAAATTTGACTTGACTGTTGGTTTAAATTAAAGATGTACAAAGAGTACAATGGTACCTACCAAACTTGTACTTCTATTGATATGGACATTGTGTAAAACCTTGAGTTCCATTATGTTACTATCGGATTTTGTATTCTATCTAAGTTTAGTGCTCAAAAAATCTACTTATATACACCGGGTTAATTTATTTAGATTTACATTGGTAAGATACCTATATAGTACTTATATACTAAGGTGAAATAATGTTGCCTTGGCCTCGATGACGTCAATACTTTGAAAAGATTCATAATATGATAGATATATATTGTACCAAAACTAAAGTTTGATTAAACCCAAAATTAAATTGTTCTATATAGAAAAACATCGATTTATACAAACTAATTGAAAATCTAAAGCGTGACTTAAATATTACTTAAAACAAAAATTTCTGAATGTCGTTGTAATAAATACGAATAGTGCAGCATAACTTAATAACAATTTGTATAATATCTTTTCTAATTATTCAGAACAGGGATTTTGTGACAATTAATCAATAATTATTATGACTTATGTTAGAAATAAAGTTCATTTAAATTGGTAGGTAAGTAGTTTTGATGACAATATGTCTTCCTATAAAATATGGTTGAGAGACAAATGATTTATTTCCAAATATCATATTATGTTTTTACATGTGATAATTAACTATATTATACAGTTCGTTATTTAAGTTCAATAATCTTCGACATACATATACAACATTTAATGGTCAGTAAACCACTGACCGCAATAATAGGATAGGAAATTCACCGACACGTGACTGAGAATCTTATATGTATTTAGACGTCGTCCATATCCAGTTTTTAATAATGCTATTTGAAGGGAGTGGATTTCGGATGTTTTGATTATACCTGGTTGCCAAGGAAATGCCATCGATTCTCCCCACACTTATATATTATGAGTGTTCATACGGATATCCGGCTTCCGGCCAATGTACAACCATATACTGTACGGTGTACACAATATTTTAATAATATTGTCAAACAGATGATATTTTGCAGAAGTAGGACGCTTAAATTGACGTACATATTAGCTTTTCTATGTTACTTCAAGTTGAAATATTAGAAACATTTTTTACTTACACTATTATACATCTTTTCAGATGTTAATTGTTCATAAAAAATATTACATTTAATGATGTGTTTCCTATGGTAATAAGTATAAACTATAAAGCCATGTTTAACATCATGCTTTTTTCCCATGTAATTTTTAGAATTGACTATTAGTAATTGCTAAAATAAGACTAGAATAAAGTTAAAAATAAAATCAGACTAAAATCAAAATTGTAAGAAGGTAGGTTGGTAATTTAATATCAATAAATATATTTTTTTTATCATTATTGTGAATCCTAAATATTTAATTATCATCGCTTATTATAATACTTACTATTCATATAAACGCTGTATATTTTTATTTCTAAAACAACAATTAATTCACCCTCTTTTTGTTTTAAAATGTAATATTATTTTACACATATTATGAAGGTTTATACTTTATAGCTCGGATAAAGTGATAGGTATAAACCATGAATGCCGTTTTAACAAACCATACTAATCGCTTTGTATATGTGTACATCCGTATAGGTATACATTGTATAGTTATTTTATGATACAATAAACGTATATAGTACACATTCGACGGTGGAAACGTTAAAGTTGTTCCGGTCTCAGAGCAATCGTTGGTGTTAAAGCGTTCTACAGTAGTTTAGTAGTAGTTTTTTCATATTTTAAAATGGTATATAAATGTATGGTGCGTACTGGCAGATAAATGTATAAAATGAGATAGAATGAGAAAGAGAGAGAAATGAATACGTGAAACCGGTCATTCGAGTTTGCCTTTGGTGCTGTTGTTAACCTCGAATCTCAAACGAACAGTCAACAGTGGTGAATAAAACGAGTTTGCCCCGAGAAAAATTACTAGATGGATGTCCGTACATAAGATTATTTGTATACATATACATATACATATATATATATATAAACATAGTTTCACTTGCTACTTAATAGATTTGGGAGTCCGATATTATAGAAATAACAATTAAGAGCATATATGTATACATAAAAAAAGCCAATGTAAACATAAAACAGATTAACAATGAATAAATACTAAAGACATCAAACCCTAAAGGCTAAAGCTCCGTCTAACTTCCGGATTACATATTATTAAATAATTGTTTATTGAGAAAGAATTCCTATGGACAGTAATATTATCGTTTATTTCATAATTTAAATTATAGTAATCTAATGAATTTTAGTTTACATCAAAATAACTTGATAACTCAATAAAGTCTATATTCTGTTTTCTGTATCAGTTGTTGGATACACCAGCTATTTAAGGGGTTAAAAATAGGCAATTTGATACGAATAAAATAAATAAATAAAATACGACATTTTGAGTGAAATTAGAACTTTTAATCTTAGTCTATTTATATTTTAAATACTTATTATTCAAAGTATCTTAGTATCAAACACGATTTAAGATAGTACTATCTTAAATCGTGGTATCAAAGGA